GAGACAGGAAATCACAAGAGGGGCGCTGGTAGGGTCTTTACAAGGGTAAGTTTTCGCTTGAAGAGATGCAAGCAGAACCAGTCGAGGATGGCAAGGTGCTGTGAAAGAATCGTTCAGTGCAGGCAGGTAGACTTGCAAAAGAAAAGCCTATGGGAAAGAACAGGGAGCAATGTCCCTGCGGGCGTTAGGTCGGGAAGTTGCCGAGGGAGTGCTGGACTTGGTGGGCGGCCGTCGCAGCGGCCATCCATAAGAGTCCATACACGTTGCCTGGATACCGATACGATACCGAACAACGGGACAACAGGCGGGACCGATGGGCAGTTGTGACGCAACCGGAACAGGACATAAATCGAAGGCCCAATAGCAGATTAATTGAGCTGTCTCGGAAAAGCTATGAGGCCGGTTGGGGCAGCATTGTTCTTGTTTGCGAATGCAATACAGGCCAATTATGAGTCGGGTCGGAGGCAATGCTGTCTATTCATTCATTCATGTTTTCATTTGTTTCGAACCTATACATCATTCATGATCCAAAAGCCTTGGACTTCGGTACCTGTTTTTTATTTTTATAAATTTAGTCCGAGTCATTTGATTGGAAGGATTCACAAGGACAGAGCCCCAGCTAAGCGAAGGTTGTTGCGGTGACCCTGTCCTCTACCCTCCGATCGCGCAATGCCGGTTCTATGGCTGAATTTAGAGTCCAATGTTTAACCTAGGTATAGGGGAAGTTGGGGGAACGCCGAATACTTTTTTTCTGACGCCCGTAGCACGCAAGGTAGACAACATAAGCTTTTCTTGTTGGCGTCATTCGAGAGGCCAGTCTTTTGCCTTTCTAACATACCAGGCGCATTTGATGAATTCGCATACCGTTAAGCGCACAAACTAAAAATATCAAAGAAGTGACTTTTTCGGCGTTGCCCCGGACTGCGGGGAAAGCCGAAAATGGGATAAATGATCTACGGGGAATGCCGACATTGATGTTTTGCCATTTTATCTCAAACTTTATCCATGACACGCGTTTTAAGAGCTTGAGGACGCGGTGCACACTGGAAGTTATAATTGTGTGATATAATAAGAAAATGCCAGGTAAATCATTCCTTATAGGTAACAAACAGGCCGTTGTGTCGGTTGAAAGTGTAATTTGTGTGACTAAAAATACGCGTTGCTATTCTACAGCAGTAAAGTCCACGTAGCGTGCTTTTAACACGTGCGTAATCGCACGTTTTCGGCATTACCCCAGCCAGCCATACTTTCATTTGCAGGCCCATGACTTTTCAACGTGCTGTATAAATTTCAAATAGGCAGCACACTTATGCAAAGACATGCTAAAGATTACTTGACCGAATTGGCCAGACAAACGGTAGCATAATGAGTAAGAAATACAGCTTCAAAGGCACGTGTAGTACAAGGGAAACGTACCTTGAAAACGCTCTTGGCGCCCTCACAGCCGAAGTATTCCGAATGACGACTCGTAACAAACATGCGATAATTGTAGTCACTTAAGCTTCAGAGCATCACTGACAGGTGGCATCCATGTCTTACGGTTTTCGAAATATCTCGAATTTCGGCTTTGCCCCAACTCCGGCATTGCCCCAACTTCCCCTAGGGTCGCGCCGCGCACCTAGGTATAGGGTCATAGAGGTTTTTTTACCAATTACCATTAGATTTTTGAATGAACGTCAAAAAAAGGCGAAATTAAGAAATAATGACAGCAAAACGCGATCTGATTTATGTTTTGGTAACAAGTACCTAATTTGCATTTTGATTTTGATTTTATTCTTTGGTTGTAGGTATTTAGACATTCTCTGACTTGACTTGAAAGGTTAACCCTCGCCGGACCTATTGGTTTTCATATATACGCGCCGGCCGAGGGGGGACGCGGGATACGACCCCCCCCCCCCCTCGCCGTTTCGCCCCTGGTGAAGCTAGCGCGTCGCGGAAAAAATGAGGTGTGCGCCGTTACGAGACGCAGAGATTGGTACCAGATTTTAAGGTCCTAGGTCAACCGGTGACCTCTGAGGTCAGGTCAAGTGCCCCAAGGTACGGTTCAGTTTTTGGTGAATAACTTCGCTAAAAACAGCCGCAGAGCCGCGATTTTGGCAGCATCGTGTTCGCCTCGCTCAGGCGCGTCGAGTGATATACTTTTTGCTTGGGTCAGGTCAACTTAGGGTGTTGACCTCAAGTCACGGTCCGGTCAGGTCAGCGCCCCCAGGTCACAAAATTGGTCGAAAGAGGTCATGTCCCATATCATTCGATTCGGCAGGTCTTCCTAAGTCCATTGGTGGCTTTCCCGACTCGCTAGCTCAATTTGATCGGGAGTTATTGACGAAAAACTAATATGACCTTGATGACGTCATAAATGACATCACGCAAGGTCAACATTGCAAAAGTGACGTATCTTCTCTTGCAAGGAGTGCATCAAATCACGATTCTGTGTGCTTGAGATAGTTGGAGATCGTTCCCGGCGCCAGAATAGCAGTTTTCATTTTTCCCCATTGATTTATAATGGCGAGGTCACGGAAATGACCTGACCTCATATAACCTTAACCCTCGCACGACCAGGCCATTTCTCATAACACGAACGACCAGGGGGGGGGTTGTTACGACCCCCCCCCTGGCGTTTCGAAACGGAAGGTCGTAGAGCTTAGCGGAAAAGACCAACGGATTGCTCTCGCCGAGATCTCGCGATTGGTGGTATATTTTTTGGTCCTAGGTCAACATTTGACCTACTTTTGACCGGTCAAAGGTCAAATTTTCGGAAAAATAGACTTTTTTCAACTTTCGGCGGCGATTGCGGCAAAACGGTGGGAGATATCGACTTGAAACCTTCACTATCGTGTTCCTTGATCAATTCTCTATCGTTTGGTATGTATTTCGTTTCCCTAGCTCTAAAAATGGCGCGTTGGGAGCGCCGGAAGTCGGCAAGGTCACAGTCGGCGGCAGAAATTCGAAAAATCAAAATTTAAATTTTTGAAATCTGATTGTATTTTTGGATTTGGGAGGTCCATTTGCTCCCTGTAGAAGCTAATATTGCTGCATATTCCCATTGAGGTGACAAGAATTAGCAAAATAGTGGTTCGGGCGCTTTTCAAAAATAGTACCGGACGCTGTTCCTCTTGTGACGTCATAGCTCCGTGACCTGACCTGACCCGGTCAAATTTCTTATACCATATGATAGCCAATACTTGCCCCAACATGCATGGGAAGTTTCATCACGATCCATCAACCGATGTCCGTACCACCGGCAGGAAACCTCGGGCGTTGGCACTCAGTTTGTGAAAATCCGGCCGGAGGCTGTACCTCTTATGACGTCATAACTCCGTGACCTGACATGACCCGATCAATTTTTTTTCGGCAAAAGATGCGCAAAGGTTGCCCCATAAGGTACCCAAAATTTGGCGGCGCTGCGCGCCGCCGTTTTTGCACTATTTCCGAAAAACCTCAGGGGGGGGGTTGATACAACCCCCCCCCTAGGCGTTCTAGGGTTAAGGAAAAACCCGAGATATACAAGTTGCGAGACTCATAATGGATACTAGATCCTGCAAGTTTCATTTACCTGTGAAAGCTCCTCTGGCAGTGAGGGCGTTGCGAAAATGCGACAGCTGAAGACCGTGCCGAGGTTCACTTATGACGTCATAGGTCAGTGACCTGACCTGACCCGAAAATGCCAAAAGGTGTCAAAAGATCCGGCTTGAATCAAAGGTCAGGTATAACGACAAAACTCTATGACGTCACTGTGACGTCATCTTTAGTGCTACAACCACCAAACTTCCCTCATACACTGCCTAGGCATTAATTTGAAGGTATGCCAAGTTTCAAGTCCGTAGCTCATTAGGTTTCTGAGATATTCTACAAAACGTAAGCGGGGCATCTTTATGCTCCCCCCCCCCCCCCAGCGGCTTGTCATAATCACACTGCCGGATCCAGAAAGGAGGCACCGAGCACGTGCGGTGATCTCTCCTAGCATCTCTTCCAACAGATCTCGGACTACACTCGATGCATATGGGCGTTGATCAATGCACGTGCCACGTGCGAAACGAAGAGGTGTCAAGTTTGTTCCCACAGTTACCTACAATAATTTGGCAATTACCGGGGCGATCGCGCTGGAACTTATCAATGGCATGTGGCTACTCGGAGTCGGATTCCACCGGTTATGCATTTCCATGTTCCGCAGTTGGGCCGCTACTGCACGTGCGCACGTGCAGGGGTCACTTCCAGGATCTCGATAATGATTGAACTGAGTACGCTCAAATTTGGCTGGTAGGTACACCTTTGGGAACCGGCAAGTAGGGTATCGGGAAAAAGTCAGCTTGGACCCGGTTTACACGTGTATGACGTTTCCACATTTCGAGAACGACTAGGCAGAATCCGTTCAAATATGGCACACCGCTAGAGACCTGTAAGTAGGGTGCCGTGCATGGTGCACATGTAAATTGGATTTAACCCCTCGCGGCTCGCAAAAGCGCACGTGCAGCCTGCAGGACTCACACTCGCGCTCGCTCATTTATTGGCCTAAAGGCGTGTTGCTGGCAGTAGACGAAAAATGAAAAGAAAATGCACCCACTTTTGTACTTCTCAGTCATTTTAGTCCGGCCGCCATTCTGCTAAAACGTACCATTCCACTCATTTCATCTGCCCCCGTCTTTCGACCTCGTGATGGCACATTAGTCATTATCCTTCATAATTTCAATCACTTTATAAAGAAAACAATAATTGTTATTATTTGAATGAGGCATTTCATAATATTATCAATAAATATTTCATCATGCATGACATCACCTTATTGTCATTTTAATGCCACAATTGAAGCTCCTCCATCCAAAACGGTTGCGTTTTCTCATCATTAAAACACCCATAGGATACAACTGTCTACTCTTTATTGTCCAGCGTTCCAGGTTCAGTAGAACAACGTTGATATTCAGAAATTCCATCTACGCAAAACACAAGAACCAGACACCAAAATGTCTTTCAAAGAATACCCAGAAAAAAAAACAACAACCATAGCCATTTATTTGTGATATAATTCCAAAACAAAAAGCATATAAAATATACACCACAATGCACGTGATGCTTTCAAAATAGATGAAAAGATCAACAATTTCTATATAAAACTCACAATGAGCTACAACTAAATTCATAACAAGGTCCATATGAAACAAATAACCACATGACAGTGGCATAGTCTAGGGAATGCTGAGGGCAACAAGAACAAGTGACCGTTCTACTCATACCAACACTCAGAATAGGGTCATATGAGCAGTTCGGGCGCTCTCCGCCAGATGCCACTAGTGTTCCCACCCGGTTTACGTCCCAACACAGTCATCGCAAAGGCATGGCCACGGCGAGGTAGCACACCTCGCCACATAGCCCACTTTGAGCGAGAATAACGGGTCTAACTGGACGGGCGCAGTGGACGGGACGCCTTCAGCAGTTCCGCCACCGGCCGCCAGGGGCGCCGTCAGCGCAGTTTCAGTAGTTCCTCCACCTGCCGCCTGGCGTCGCTGGGATCGGTCACAGAATGGCCCACTGTTCTGGGATCCTCGTAGATGGCGTGATCGTTCCCTCCTGGGCTCGTCTTGTCGCCGAAAAAGTGGATCGCTGAAAGATTAGGAGGGGCGTTATCGCACGTTCAACGTATTTACCCTGTGATGGCATTGCTTGCTAAAAGCCTTTCTATCAAAGATTGTACACATAGGTACTAACACTTTGATAGAACAGTCGAGGCGGTCTAATCTACGACAAAGGTGACGTTGTTTTCCGCTACGACTCCAGCCCACTTATCTGAGCTCACGCTATAAAGATCAAAGTACAACAACGGATGCCGGTAGACGATAGGAAAGCTGCTCGATAAACAAGCATCACCCGAGCAACACTATTTCTTAAAACTCAATCTGTAGATACTACTGGTCAAGTGTCAAGTCATGCTTTCCTGCGTTGCGTGTTCTGGGAAGTCACGCAACTGGCAATTACGCTAATTAAAACATGGTCAAAGGGGAGCCGGCACCACTGATACATGTTAAGCATCGAAATTAGATTACGAGTCGTGGTTTCGGGATATCTTTCACTTTCCTGCATTAGTTATTTTGGTGTGAATAGAATGAAAAAAAAATAACGCTCCCACACAGCCATGAATTAGTCTACAATGGAAATACCAGTAAAACGCCTTTTGGGCGAAGAACGAGCGAGCGAGATAGTGAGCCATGCACGTGCGGAAGGGCGAGAGGGTACTTCGAACGGGCTTGTGCAAAGCACCCTTCTAACCGGTCGCTAGCGGTGTGCCAAATTTGAACGCAATCGGCCCAGCCGTTCCTGAGATCTGGAAGCGGCATTATGCACGTGCGCACGTGCAAACGGGGTCCAAAATGACTTTTGCACGGCACCCTACTAACCGGTCCCTAACCGTGTACCAAATTTGAGCGCAATCGGCCCAGCCGTTCTCGAGATCTGGAAACGCCCCTGCACGTGCGCACGTGCAGTAGCACCCTAACCGCAACACATGGGAATGCATTGCCTGGTGGGTGACTACCTGTATGCCAAGTTTCAGCGAAATCGCCCCAGTAATTACCGAGTTACTGAAATGGGAACAAATTTGGCACCTCTTCTTTTTGTATTTTGCACGTGCAGTGGGGGTCACTCACATAGATCAAGAGTATTCGACCTTTGGTAGAAGGGATGGAGCTACCCTATAAAAATTACCGCAAGACAATCGCTCAAGCCGCTGCTGAGATATGGGCCTCTCAAAATCATCACTTTTGCAAAACTGCTTGAACACCCTTGACTTCTCACGTGGCACGTGCCACGACGGTCACTGAGATGTATCAAAAGTAGTCAATTACGGGGTAGAAGGGATGGGGCTACCCAGCAAAAAAGACCGCAGGCCAATCGGTCCAGCGGTTGCTGAGATATAAGCCTCTCAAAAGCGTTACAGGCCGGGCCGGGCCGGGCCGCTCATACTGAGATTTTTCCGTTATATTGAAAAGACTTCGCTTCGTTCGCTGCGCTCGCTCCCTCGCTCGTAACAAAGCAATGACAGTAAAGCAGCTAAATTCACGTTGCAATACAGGACTATGCCGGACAGAGGCGCAGCCAGGATTAAATTTCGGAGGGCCCTTGAAGTGGTGAGGGCGCCAATATCGGCTCAGGAGGGCGCCAATTTCGGCTCAAGAGGACGCTATAAAATACAGAAAGATATAAAATTGCACAGCTGGGCGCCAGTGTCGCATCATGGTGTACCGCAATGGAGCTAGCTTACCGTCGAAGGCGCCTAAAGTGCTGGAAAGGCGGAAATGATTTTGGATGGCGCCTTCCCAGAGGGCACTTGCTAGATTTGGGAGGGGCTAAACTCAGTGTGGCCCCCTTGGCTGCGCCCCTGACTATGCATCATTCATTCATTAACATAGAGACACTGGGATCAGGGTTGGCACACTTCCTCATTACACTCCACGGTCCAGTAGATTAAACAGGACTGGAGGAAAACTGACTACACATTTCCTGTTTTGCTATCAATGGCGCGTCTAATCCAGACGTATGAATCACGTCCGGTCAAAACTGGCCCGGGCATGGCAACAGAAGTGTTAATACGGGACCCGGATGTGTTCAAGAGATATCAATAAAAGTTTCCCCGGAAAGGTATTGCTCATCTATCCCATATATGCTGAGTACTTGGTGTGGGTTTATGACGTCATGCATTAACTGCCCAGACTCTTATCAACCGCCTATTGGCACAGTCATAAGCCCACTTCAAGGGAATAGATACCACTTCAAGGGGATAGATTAAGTGCAAAGACTCAGATGAGGATACAACCACACGACCCAAGCATGCATTTCAATTCAGAACGTCATTAAACTAATAAAAATGGTAATTAAGATAAAAATAAGAAATGGGTGAATAAGATAATAAGAAATGGGCGAAGCTAAGAATAAAAAACAGCGACCAGACTCACCACCAATGCGTCAGAGTTACATAAGAAGAGTTGTCATCCGTCGTCTGCCCACACTTTCCGTCAGTACTCACCTTCGAAACCCTCTTTTTCGACGAACTGTAGTGAGTACGTCTTATCCCACCCCCGCGGAAAGACATCGACACTTATCTGGCCACCTGTAACAGAGTTCCGGGATCAGTCAGTCAGAGCAAATCAGTCTGTCAGATAGTGTCAGACAGAGGCAAACACCGATTGGGGCAAACAGACAGCGATTGATGAGATCAACGGTTATCGGAGTAGATGACGCGGGAATCCATGGAAGAATGACGTTTTTGACTGCGTCACATCCGGATCTTATCCCTACGGGGCTTAGAAATTCCTGACGCAACTTCAGTGAGTTGCAAAGAAATGGATCATGATCGATTCAGACAACGTTTGTATTGTAGTTTATAACTCCAACCATCACATAAATATTTTTCTAACGTCCCTTCTCTCCCGATAATTTTCTCCTTTCCCTACCCCTATAACTTTCTTTTCTCGAGCCCTACCTCTCATTCTCTCTCACCCTTCTCTTTCTCCTACTCTTTCTCCTCAACTCTTTTTCTCTTACTCTCTTACTCACTCTCTCTCTTTCTTCCCCTTCTCTTTCCCTCCCTGCTTTCATCGTCCCATTTCCCATGACTCTCCACGTCTTTATTTACCCTTAAAACTTCTGTCATTTCCCTCTTTCTTTCACCAAAACTCAGTCATTCCCTCCATCCTTCTCCCTTCCCCCGCCTTACCGATGCAGACACTAAGGTTGGCGTCTCTGAACTCGGAGTTTAGCGCGGCCACTAAAGCAGACCTCACACCGTGCTCCGTGTCGTACACTACAAACGCGTCCCGTTCGGCCTGGCTGCAGCTGCGGCCGATTGGCGAAATGTTGATCATACCTGGGGATGATAATAGGGGGAGGGTGTGTATGGAAACACGCAGAATTAGCGATATTGGTTAGATATTTATTATACCCGGGGACTTAAGGCTGAAACACTCTTTCTGCAGTAGTTGCACTCACATCAATCGTTCGCACCCCCTACAAACAATTGAATATAACAGATAAATTTCATGTATTTGAATAGGCTCTCGCATGCTATTTCCTTACTGCGAAAAAGTCTGTTTCAGCGTTAAGAGGGAAGTAACCTATTACGTACCTGGGAACATGGAAAGATAAGGATTATACCTGGAAACGCAGAGGAGATTGGGTTATATCTGGGAACATCGGACAGAGATTGGGTTGCAGCTAGGAAGACACAGAGCAGTGTTTTACAAACGCCAGGGGACAGGGAAAAGCTGGCTGTACACTGTACAGAGCCTAGCTCTACAGTTACCAACCCTAACATTGATTCAGGAGAAAGAAGAGATATCAAGTTGAACTTTGACATGGACAATTTGAACCTTTTACTCTGACTGTAACACCCTGCCTGATCGATACAATGCAACCAGCTCAACACCACCTTCAGTATGAGCTCACCGTTCCTGAACTCAATGAAGTTGCCTCTCTTCAGTGGCAGCTGCACCTTGCTGAGGTAGCCCAGTGTGAAGTTGATGAAGCGCTGGAGGAACTCATCACCCAGCTTCCCGACTAGGTCAGCCTTATGTATCAGCTCGCCGCCTGTGGAGCGGAGAGAAAGACACAGTGAGGTCAGGACAGAGCTACATAAACTGGTTATACGACAGGAGTGCCCTGACCTGCAGTACTCCTGTCTAGAGCAAGGCACAGGTCAAAACAATGCAAAGCATGGGACAGCAAATTCGGGAAGAGCCGGAGGTCAGGGCACTTATGATGTGCATCACAGACTTGCGTTTGTTATGGAATTGTCAATTGTGTGCCATGATTGTCATGGAACTGAGCAGGGATCATAAAAAATGACAAGTCAATGGGGTTACATCTGCATACTTCATCTAAACTAACGAAAAATAATTCATAGTCATAACTGTCGATACCCTTACGGCCCATGCCACACTATATGTATATGGCCTTGCATGCCACCCTTTCACACGGCACACGGGTTCGTCGTCACAAAAACCTGCAGCTCTGGTCATCACGTGACTTATTCAGGACCGGTCCGACGGTTTAGAGCCCCGTTAGCAGCACGAATCGACACTATGTGCCGGGCAGACGGGCCTGTGTCGCTACTGACAACGCCAGGGCGAGGGGAAACTGGGCTAATGTTGGCTTGGCAGGCTCCATGAAAATGCAACGGGCTGCTTGGAGCCCGAGAATGTAAAAACATTCGCGTAACTATCGTGAATAGTGGCAAGTGTCTACGGCACTTCTTAGGGCAATGGCATATTAAACGCAATAAGAACAGCCCATTACAATGCATTAAACGTAGATAACTTTATACGACGTAAGTATTAACAATCGGCCCAGTCAAAACGCCCAGCTACAATTCGTCACTATTTTCGTCAGAAAAGCACTACAAAAAAACTCCCAACCACCCCAATAACCTGTTTCACCCTATCTCAGCACTTCCGCACGTGCCGATGACCCCACGCATCCCCCACCCCTCCCCTCCCCCATAACGGTAATAATCGGTAATAGCCGGTAATAACCGGTGCCTGCCCCTAGTGTTGGCCCCCCGCCCGGTCGATGGGGTCTCCTTTCCAAGGGGCGCTCGTCGTCCGAGTAAAGGTGGCCTCGGGACATTGACGAACTGATGGTAACGCGGTATACCTCAAATAACATTGGAATTCACACACGTCAACATACATTAAAAACTAATGTTACGCGTAGAACATGTAAAAATACTGCATAAAAATCGAAATCAGATGATTATTTAATTTTCAATCAATTATCCCAAATTTTCACCAGCAAATGAAACTCTATCCACCCGAGGCCACCTTTTGTCAACCGTCCACCCAAGCCGGCTTCACAGCAGCTCTACAATCGATATTGCAGGACTCAGGAGCCGGGTAAGTGCCGAGGTCGGTCTAACTGTTGCCAGGCACGCCATTCCTGAAATGGGCGCGGTCCGGTCCGGTAGGCCGGCGGGCCATGGCGGGTCATCAGGTGAGGGAGGGTGACCCGAAAATGGGGTCCGATTTGAATGAGATCAATAAACACGGTATGCTGATTAATGATGATGAAGCGAGGTCATATTAAGCTAATAATGCAAGTTGGTGGAGTAGGATCTAAAACCAGGAATGAAAGTAAGAAGGGGTAAGAATTGGAGGAGAAAGGCCATGCGTCAAGGAGCTTGACTGTGCAGGGCCTGAAGTTGCAACCCGTGACATAACTATATTCAAGTCACCAAAAGCCCATATGAGGGACTGCTACCGAAATCTCTGCCGGCTTACTGGCCCTTGAAGGTTAACACGCTGTAACTACTCTACAACTACTGTATAACTACTCTGTAACTACTCTAATAAACCTTTGAAGGTTTACAGGTCATTCTCTAACTCACCTTTGAATGCGACCAGGCCGTTCTCTGCGAACACGTACTCGCACATGGAGTGCACGGCCTTTTCGTCGCCCCCTGCCAGCTGTTGGCAGATTTTGGGCAGGTCCGAGCCGCCCACCACGCCGACACAGGCGTGCTCGCGCAGAGAGCTGAGGAACTCGGTCATGTCCGGCGTGATCTCCTGTGGGTGAGGGTTGAAGAAGTCAGCAGTAGGTCAGAACAGGTTGCAATCACCTTGGAGGTTATATGCAGGTTAGGTCAAGCGAGAGATCATGACACGAACAGTGTGATGTCAAACATGATGCGATGCTGGATATAAGTCGGAAAGGAGTAAGTCACATTAAATTTATTCTATACATCAGCGCATTGCCATGATAACATTTTGCATCATACTTATCGCAAAGAGTAGCCCATTCCCACAAATTCAGTGCCATTCTGTCGAAACACGTGACTTTGATCCAGCGCCTGCAACACCAGACGGTGCCTTCCAAATTAATCACGTGACTGGCGATGACCTCGGAGGAGAGGCTCACGCTACTTCAGCTCCCCCCCCCCCCCCCCACCGACCCCGACCTGGCACGCGCAGAAATCAATGTCCCTAGCCGTGGCGGACGCTGCGAGGTCGATTCAACGCTACCTCCTTCAGACCAGAGAAGTAAACAATAAATATGACAATAAGAGCGACTACCGAAACGGGAACCTGAGAAAAGGCTTCGATCTATTCTTAGAACTCGTCTTCGTCATTCGTGACTATTTTATTTTTCCCTTAGCCTTATATTGAGGGTTATACGATCAACTAACTGGTATTGTGACTATGATCCTTGTATCATGATTAGCATGCCTGTCACATGCTAGTTAGTTGTTAGCCGTTCAGCCTATTATTTATCCATCACGGGCCTCTCAGGTATTCATATCCAAACACAATGCCCGTGCGTCCCCTGCCTTCCGTCGGCTAACATTTGCACACCTGGCTAGACTGTCTGCACCCCTACCCTCCTCCTCCCACACCCCTCAGTGCCCCTCTACTCAGCTGACCAGCACGGGGCGTGGCTAGGATCAATAGCCACCCAATTGGTCCAGACTGGTCACTAGTCACCGGCCCGCTACCCGAGAAACTTGGATAGCTAGTCGTAGATTGATGGATTGAAAATAATTTACCGATCGTGTTTTGATTGATTCGGTCACGTGTTTTGTTGAGCAGATCACTAGCAAGGCGTGTTGTTTATCACTTTCAGAACTCTGCAATCAACAAGTTTAATTGCTAGAGGACGCAAAAACAGAAGCGCCCATTATCCAGCCGCACGTGAGGGGAGAAAAACTCAAACGTTCGAGTAATCATCACGGCGTCAAATCAGGCACGCGCAGCGGGTGTCATGGCAACCTCCGCCACGCGATCCACATTGCTACAGCTCACGCATCGTCGGCGCAGCCATGAACAAAGCCGAGTCCAGCGGCCGTCGACACCGCCACTACCGCCGACAGCATCGACACCGTCCGCCGACGACCGGAGGGAACAGGTATCGACGACCGGTGTGCCGTCGGTGGCGCCGTAGGGGTGCGTCGTCGACGGTCCGGCGAGCAGTGGTGTGCCTCCGGCGGCGCTGGACGGTCGGCGGGGCCAAAGAGTAGGGAAGACTCGCCTGGGCGGCCGTGGTGTGCGCGGGTCAGGCGCGGCGGAGAGCGCTGGTGGCTGGTCGAAGGGCTGGCCGGAGGTAGCTCTGGGAGACAGCCGCGAGACCAGGCGGTGTCTTCTCCCTCTACTCCGCCAAGCTGAGTAGAGGGAGACAGAAGAAGAGGGCTGTCACTGACACCGGCCGGTCAGCCGAGCCCGTTCACGCTGCGGCCGCCGGGCAGGAGGTCGTGACCTTAGTTAGGTCAGAAGAATCCTCCAATCAGAGCACCAAGAGTCAACCTTCGCAGAGGCAGCATTTGAAGTAATTGAAGGAAGTGCCTTCCGAGTCAAGGACGAAGAACAAGAAGCTCGTCTTAGAATTTTAAAGTGACAACAATTCAAAGAGAGCCTGACAAATACTACCACAGTAGAAACAGGAGGTCACAAGGCGCATTTGACACGTGCCGCTGTAAGTTGGGACAGGAAGTTGTCACCGGAAGTTAAACGGAAGTAAACCGGAAGTCTCACGATGAGTAGCTCGGGAGGGGTGCAGCGGCCAAACTTTGCCGATCACCGCTACCAGGAGGCGGTGGGCAACTTGAAGCAGCTGCTGGCAGACGGCGGCAGCTACAGCGGTCGCGGATCCGACGCCGGAAGTGTCCGCTCGCGGGCCCGAAGTGTCTCGCGCGCTCTGGACCCAAGCATCATGAGACCGGAACTGAGTCACCACCGAGCTGAGGTTGGCTCCTACAGACGCCACTATTCCGCTTCAAGAGCTTACACATCCAGCTACAGAGGAGATACAACCAGCTACCGGTCAGGTTTAACCAGCTACAAACCGGATCTAACCAGCTTCCGGCCGGAAGTGACCAGCTACCGACCGGATGTAACCAACATCCGGCCGCAGAGCGCCATGGAGGTGAGCTCAGAGCGGCGGTTCGACCCGCTCCCGATGGGCCCCGGCTCGGTACGGGCCCTCTCGCCTGTGTCGGTGAGGTCTCTCCGACTAACAGCTGACGATCCTCTCCAGCTGACTGATGACGTCATTGGTCCAGACGCGGTGGACAGCACCGGTGGCGGTCATACCAAATTGGCCGATAACGGGAACGTGGGCTCCAGAGAAATACAGGTGAGACTACTGCATGGGACTTGCCTAACAGCTTGATTGACCAGGAGTTCTCCGGCGTTTTCTAAGGAAAATGCTCTGAGAACGATGCGTAGGGTATATTCAAAATGTGAATCTTTGTAGAAAATACTTTAATACTTTTTAAAATAAGACAGCGTAACAGACCGATCCTCGAAGGACGAAGCCATGTTCCACAACGCCGCCCTTCACCCCGTCACCAGCCCTCCCTTTCTTTCATCAGGTGCTGGAGCTGCGTCAGCTCTCGCTGCGCCAGGAAGCGCTCTGTCAGCAGCTCGAGGAGGAGAACGCTGAGCTGCGGGACGCCGCTGACGAGATGCGAGGATACGTGCAGCAGCTGGTCGCCGAGAACGCGACGCTCGCTGAGGACCTCAGGTCAGTGCACGGGATTCCGAGTCAGGGGGTTAAGCCTCAGATCAGGTGACGTGAGACCGAACAGAATCAGGACTACAGGTCATAAGATGCAGATGAGCGAATAACAGCTAGGCTCAGACCAGAGACAAAAGCTGAAGGGGTGGGATACTATAGATTAAGTAGACCAAGGAGAGCATCAATGGGCGAAATGCTACGTGAGGGTTGACCAATGACAAATACCTCAGCTCAGGAAAAGGAGCGTAGGTCAAAACGGCAGACCACCGCGCTCTCAGCGACACCTGTTCCAACTAGCGTCAACCAACACCATATTCAACCATTTCATCACTGTCTCGCCTCTTGAAACCATTCTAGTGTGATCGCCCCACACTTATCCCTCCCCACCATTTCCCAGGACTCGTGCAGCTGAGACGGTCAACGCAGAGTCTCTAGCGACAGCCGAGACTCGCCTGAAGGACGTCCAGGAGGAGCTGGAGAGGTTCAAACGGCAGGCAGCCACACAGGAGAAGAACCTGAAGTCTGCACATGCCGAACAGCTGAGGAACGCAGGCTTAGAGAAGGATCGGCTGGCCGGGAGCGTCGAACAACTCAAGGTAATCGAGCGAAGCGAGTGGGTAGAATATGATAGAATATTATGACAGAGATCAAAACAATACCATGATAAAATAAAATGGCAGCAGGTTGAACAGACCGAAGCAGCCATAGCATGTTACCGATCGCAAAACTCAAAACATATAAGCAATGCTTGCAAATTAATCAGATACAAGCAAAGCAACGGCCGCGACAGGGTGTTAAAAATAAGCTTGAAAATAAGGTTGAATATAGTCTCAAATGGTGCAGTCATAATGCTTCAGCATCCTTCAGAAACAACAGCAGATGTAAGGAAGCAGAGCATGCCGCAAAGCGATGTTAACAACATGATGTAAGTGAAACCCCGCGATGCCAATGTTCCATTGCAGACGGAGCTAGAGGAGCTGAGACGGCAGGCAGAAAAGGCCGAGCAGAAGGCGGTCGCCGCCCAGCAGAAGGAGGAGCAGGCGCGCTCGGCTCAGTCTGAGGCGGACTCCACAGTTGCCAGACTTCGGAGGTACGGGACAGGGTTACTGAGACTGTCTTACATCTAGAATGTATTACGAGTTCTATGCGATCAAGTGGTTATGAAAGCATCTGCGTCAGAGAATAACGAATAATTCCATACTTGTAACTAACTATCTTATTGGGTATCATCCTGTCGTCCATGATTATAGGGAAATATGACCGGGCTGAGAAAGGTGTGTTGTCCGGCATCTCTCGTCCAAGCAATGTCAACCGTTTTGGGGGTTCTCTGCAAGTCGAGACAAGCAGCTTCTTTCAATACTGCTCTACCTGTACAAAGATCACACTAGACAGCAGGGCTGCGGAGTCGATGGATTTTCGGCGACTCGACTCCGACTCCGACTCCGGCTTTAAAAAACCAGCTCCGACTCCGACTCCGACTCCGGGCAGAATTGTCGACTCCGACCGACTCCAACTCCCGACTCCGACTCCGCAGACCTAGCAGGGCTGCGGAGTCGACAGATTTTCGGTGACTCCGACTCCGACTCCGGCTCGGGTTTCTAAAATCGACTCCGACTCCGACTCCGGTCACAACTGTCGACTCCGACCGACTCCGACTCCGACTCCGACTCCGACTCCGACTCCGCAGCCCTGCTAGACAGAGTCTTTACCCCATATACGTTATCCAGCGCAACATATCTAAGTTAGATATGTTGCGTTGGATAACGTATATTGGGTAAAGGCTCTAACGAATCTAACGAATGGTGTTTATCTTTTCAAACAACCTGCGGTTAAAGCGTCTCCCTTATATCCACAGGGAGCTGGAGGAGAAGGACCGCCAGGCCGACCGGACCCAGATGGAACACGAGCGCCGTCTGGTGGCAGCCAGTGAGCATGCTGAGAAGGCCGTCAGGGACACCTTCGACAAGCTGCAGCAGCAGCTGAACCGTCAGCAGCAGCGTATCGCGGAGGTAATTGAGGGGATGGGGGGTGACTGGGGTTCTGGGGTGCTCGAACTGCATCGCTCCCTAGCGCTTGCCTATGGTTGCATAATTGCATTATTGGCCTTTTGGTACCTTGTTGAAAGCAAATACGAATGCAGTATACTGGAGCATTGGCAAGCTGCAATATGTCCTTGCGGGTTGCATATTGCTTAGATCTTAACTTTTGAGGAAGCCCCCAGCCCAGACAAAATCAAACGATACTTTCTCAAAGATGAGCATAGAAAGATTAGTACCGTGGTCGGCGGTCGCATTGAATTCGCCGGTGCTGTTGCGGTGTATTGCGCCGGTGTATTAGCGTTCAGTCCGTAATCGTATCACTAGCCACTATCCAAGCTGGAAAGTTGAATCCATGACTTGTTCGTCCTCCATCATGACTTTTCCGTCCCCCCCCCTCTCATTTCTCATTCGTCCTCAGTTGGAGGATGAACGCGAGCGCCACCAACGGAAAGAACAAGAACTACAACTGGCCGTGGACCAGCAACGGAAGGCTGCAATCCAGGCCAAAACGGACACCGACAGCGCCGCCACACGACACCAGCGCGAACTAGAGGCTCTTCAGAAACGGATCCAGGTGGTGAGTTCTGCGGTGGCTGACATCGCTGAATCAAAGACTGACACACATTTCCGTCGTTAACAGTGAGAAAGGCACAATAGAACGCATCGAGAACTCAAGGCATCATTCAACACAATCGCCTGGTCCGAAAATTCAAACGAAATATATTACGCCTTGTAGAAAGAATACAAGTTAGTCGTAGACTTGTCATCGATTGTAAAATGTTGGCTGTCCGCCGTTCTCATTGGTGCAGCTAGTGGCCTTGACCTGGCTCTCGAACGCTGATTGGTTGACAGCCCGCGGTGCAGACCAATCCAAGCCACGAGCGCCTCCGTCGAGAGATGGCGATACTGCGTCAACAGCTGACTGCCACCGAGAATCAGCTGACTATCGCCAACCGGGAGAGAGGGCGCCTTCAGCAGCAGGTAAGGGAGAAGAGATGTGGATTTCTTTAGAATGGTAATATGCTGGCATGGTACTCAGCTTCTACCTTATTAGACGCATGCTGTGCTTGATACTGTTCACAATCCCGTTATGTATTTCCAGCATATATTAGTGAAAACCCGTAATCATAGGCGTAGGAACAGGGGGGGCCGGGGGGGCCATGGCCCCCCCACTTTTTAGCCATTTTTTAAAATAAAATCTTTATTTTTTATTTAAATACAAAACTAAGAGCAGGAAATGATTCAGCAAGGTGAGATGAGCACAAAACTGCAAAGAATTTCTTCATAGGGGTATTGGGGCTCCCACAAAGTGACATTGAAGTTTCGCTGGCCCCCCCACTTTTCGTGAGGTTCCTACGCCCATGCCCGTAATGGTTATATTATTTCAACTATATCCAGCCATAACCCCTGTTCTCGAGAATAGGTACCATACGTCACTATTCTGGTGACATTTTGTGTCCGTCCCTGACAGACGTGGCGTCTGGAGCGCCGGCCGGACGCTGGACTGGACCGGGACTCCCTCGGTGGAGTGCTGGGAGACGACGGCATGACCCTGCTACCCCGACAGCTGGAGAGGGTGCTCAGCGGCACTGACAGAGGCAGCGGCTCGCACCGCTACCAGCTGCCGACGTCTTATAGACAGGTGAGGTGGCCAATACCGGCAGCCGGTGTTCTATAGAGGCTGGGTGTATTCTGCGTATAACGGCGAAGGATTCTGGGCAAGCAGCTGGTATCTTTCAGAGAGAAAACTAAAAATAGAGTTAGTGGTTTCTGCTCCCATATTCGCAAGACGCTCATAGCCCATAGGGCATACGAAGTGTTTGTTGTAGCTTAGTAAGCAGCCGGATATGTACTAATAAAAATCAGCGCTGATAATCACTGTAACATAGACAAATATGGCAGTTGGCATGGAGCTTCAAAACCCACTAAACACGATAAGTGCACAGCAATGGAGCCATAAAGAGGATACGCAGCAAAGGTAGGCGATAGCATGCTCTTGTACGTTCTTTAAATTCTACATTCTTTCCCAATACTATCCTCAACCCTCTTCTGTCCCCAGATGAAAGACTCGGACCTGACTCTGCCCGCCTCTCCGCCGACTCCTGCCGAAGACAGCTCCGGCTCCGGCAGTCTCTCTCGTCCCCAATCAGGCGGCAGTCCCGCAATCAGTCGCAAGTTCTCTCAGCCCGCCATGGGTCACAACCGCGGCAGTCCGACCGTCACCCGGAAACTGTCTCAGGGAAGCACCCAGTCGCGCGGAAGTCCGTCGTTCCTTCGCAGAGGAGCTGCGGAGACGGGTTCCACAGAGACGGTGACGGAGATTATAGAGATTATCAGCCCGAGGGGAGAGTGCATTCAGAGAACGGAGAGGGAGACGGAACGACCTGCGTCGGTCGCAGCGGTGGGAGGACAGTCGCAGCAGTCGATAGAAGAACAGCAGCAGCAGGAGCCGCTGCTACAGCAGAGTGGACACAAGACTGAACAGCTCGATCAGGATGAGGAGAAAATCCAACCATCGCAGACTGATGTTGAGAAACTCGAACAAGATCGACGAGACGTGGATGAAGTCGAGGAGCCCAAGCAGCAGCTCCAGAAAGCTCAGCCACCAGAGCACCAAGACCAGCAGCCGCAGCCGGGCAAAGAAAATGTCCAGCAAGCGCAGAAGAAACAGGATGCGGAAAAGGTTCCGCAGCCTCAGGATAAAAGTGAGAAGCAGCAGAAGAACCTGGAACAACTTGAGGAACACCGCAAAGAGCGTCAGGGGTCGAAGGCCCAACCACAAAAACCTACAGAGAACAAGAAGGAAAAGTCTTCAGAGATAAAATCACCAGAGCAGAGTGAGAAGCCCTCGTCCAAACAAGAGACCAAGCCGTCAGGCCACTCAGGACAGCCACAGTCTGAGATGCCGACTGAAGGCAAAGTTGAATCCAGTATCACTGAGAAGACGGTGAAGTCAGAAGTGCGGGAGCAAGCAAAAGTGGAGACCAGCACTGGGAAGGATGCAGTGAAACCGAATTCGAAGCCACCACTCACGGCGGGAACGCCTGCCCAAAAGTGAAGCGAGAGCTAGAGAACACGACGGTAGCAGTGACGTACACTGTATACCGTACATTCGCGATGATTGCGTCCGGTTTGTATGTGTGTGTGTTGCCATTTGCAATGATATCAAGATGCGCCATCCTTACTAGGGGGATCCTAACCAGAAACGTGGGTAGGTTATGCGAATGATTTATGCGCCTTTAGGAAGAAGGTGCGTCTCCTGTGAAGCATTCCTGTTTGAGCACAAGTCAAATGCGATTCAACTGTAAGTAAGCCACCGTAAGAGCTGGCATTTCTATTTGAGAGAAAAGAGAAATATCGTATCTCAGATGTTGCATCTCAGTTGTATCTCAGTATTTGTGTGAGCATATGCGGAGCCCACAACGTTATGTATGTGATTAGGTATTTAGGATTTAGATGCACATGTCGAAGCTTATCCTCGGCTCCGCACACAACTAGGGTAGACAATAGTTGCCTGTGTGATTTATCGTTTAATGTCCATCTGCCATTACCGTCAGTATCTGCAGAGATATGTGAATGAGTGTTGGCAGCCAGAAGTCAGCGTATTATTTAACTTAATAAAACTAGCGAAATATGGCCAATTTCTTTTTATCTGGGCATGGCTGCGGAGGTAGATTAATTTTTGGCGACTCCTACGACTCTGGGGCCCAAAAACCGACACCAACTACGAATCCAGGTCCGACTCAGGACATCATAATGCCCATGTCACGATGGTCAAGTTCACGTAGGAGGTGAGTTACAATTGGCCTGAAACAATCCCCTATGTGTCCCAAAAACTAAGAAGAAAAGTGTCTCACATACGAACAAACAAACAGTTTCAAGGGTAATTAAACAACAGGCATTTGAATGAGTGGGATGCAGGTATCTGTGTGTCAGTAGACAATGGTTTTAACCCGCGCCCTGCTGGGAGGGGGTGAACACTCAACCCCTGCGGTTTTTCGCAAATATCTCAAAAATGGCGGCGCGGAGCGCCACCGTTTTTTGCACACGCTATCATATATCAATTCTACTCATGTTGTGAAAGAGTTAGACCAAGCTCAATCAAGGTCAGGTCACCAGGTCACTTCAAGTGACCGCACCTCATAAAAATTTGCAATGTCAGTAATAGCTACATCGAATGACCAATCACTTTGAAACTTTAGCGATGGATAAGAGCAATAGTATGTACAAAATGTATAACTCAGAATTTGCATATCGGTGACCTATTTGAATATCGGCATATCAGGTCAATTTTGCGGCCTTCAATGACCAGTAGTAACCTGAATTTTGACCTGACCAAAAAAAAGTGCCCAAAAAGTGGCTATTTCGTCATAATTTCTAACCCGCTTTCGAGCGCCGCCTTCCCGTGTCGCTACGTGGCCCAGGAGTCGAGTTAGAAGGGCGTGTTAGAAGGGTCGAGTGTTCAAACACCCCCCCCCCCCCACACACACACACACACACACATCAGGGCGTGGGAATCCAGGGCCCCAGCGGGGCGCGGGTTAATGGATGTTCGGCATGCTCGTACAAAACTTACCTGTCGTGCTTTGGTTAAGGTTCCATCCACATCGAAAAGAAGAAGTAGTGGTTTTCTTGGGGCCATCTTTAGTGAGCTGTCTGTAATATGGAGAATTGGTGTCAGCTGGTTACGACAGAGCGAGCGAAAGTCTTCAATTTTTATGGAACGGAAAACATTTGTTTTTTAACGGAAAAAAAAATCAGGATGAGCGGCCCGGCCCGACCTTACTTAGCCCGGTCTGCAACGCTTTTGATAAGCTTTAAAGTTATGGCTCAAGAGCTAGTCAAGTTTTGGACGCAAGTCATTCTTAACACTCCAAACGCTGAAAAAGGGCAGGCGCATACTACATGGCTATTGCATAGTGACACAATTTACACAATTTTCAAAGGACCGCCTATTGGTATTCTCTCGAATGTTACGATCTAGAGTATTCCACATTCGTACGGCGCGCACGGGCACATTATTCTGGTCGACTCAAATCTACAGCGACATGCCTCTTGCTGACCAGAGGAAGTGGCACGCATTTGTCGCTCTGATACACCAGCCCGGTAAAACACGAGAGATTTGAGGCGCTCAGGTCCGTTGTCACAGTGCACGGCGGAATGCACAAGCGCCGAGTCACGGTTATCAATAAGTGCGCAAAAAGACATCAACCCCAGCTCCTTCCGTGCTGCCGTGATGTATTGCAACTATTACAAAACTGACACCTCTTCGTTTTGCACGTGGCACGTGCATAAGGGGTCACCCACATGCATCGGGAATAGTCCAATACTTGGTAGAAGGAATGAAGCTACCCTACAAAAATTACCGCGTGTAAATCGGTCAAGTGGTTGCTGAGATAAAAGTCTCGCAAAAGTGTCCGCACGGCCGGCCGGCCGGCCACTCATACTCAGAAATTTCCGTCAATTTGCCCTCGCCGGCCGAGGGGGGGGGGGGGGCGGGAGCGGGTGCCCCCCCCCCAAAAAAAGGTTTTTCGCGATAGCTCCGAACACGCTGGCGATAGAGAGCTGAAACTTGGCATACCTGACTTTTGATTCAAGCCGGATCTTTTGACACCAACCGCATTTTCGGGTCAGGTCAGGTCACTGACCTATGACGTCATAGGTGAACCTCTGCACGGTCTTCAGATGTCGCAACTTCGCAACGCACTCTCTGCCAGAGTAGCTTTCACAGGGAAATGAAACTTGCAGGATCTAATATCCATTACTAATCTCATAACTTGTATATCTCGGATTTTTCCTAAAGGCCGTATGAGGTCAGGTCATTTTCGTGACATCACCATTATAAGTCAATGGGGAAAAATTAAAACTGCTATTCTGGCGCCGGGAACGATCTCCAACTATCTCAAGCACACAGAATCGTGATTTGATGCACTCCTTGCAAGGTTAGATGCGTCACTTTTGCAATGTTGACCTTGCGTGACGTCATTTATGACGTCATCAAGGTCATATTAGTTTTTCGTCAATAACTCTTGATCAAATTGAGCTAGCGAGTCGGGAAAGCCACGAATGGACTCAGGAAGACCTGCCGAATCGAATGATATGCGACATAACCTCTTTCGACCAACTTCGTGACCTGGGGGTGCTGACCTGACCTTGACCTGAGGTAAACACCCCAAGTTGATCTGACCCGGACAAAAAGTATATCATTCGACGCGCCTGAGCGAGGCGAACACGATGCTGCCAAAATCGCGGCTCTGCGGCCGTTTTTTGCGAAGTTATTCACCAAAAACGGAACCGTACCTTGGGGCACTTGACCTGACCTCAGAGGTCACTGGTTGACCTAGGACCTTAAAATCGGGTACCAATCTCTGCGTCTCGTAACGGCGCACACGCTCGTTTTTTTCGCGACGCGCTAGCTCCACCAGGGGCGAAACGGCGAGTGGGGGTCGTACCCGTCCTCCCCCCCCCCCCCCCTCGGCCGGCGCGTATGTAGAAAACCAATAGGTCCGGCGAGGGTTAATCTAAGGAAAGACTACGCAGTACGCTCGCTCCGTAAGAACCTAATCTAACCTGACCTAGCCTTACCTCATGTAACCTAACTGCACCTGACAGACCTTATCTACTAGCCTACTAACCGTACTAACCTACAACCTTCCAACCTACATACCTACCAACCTACAACCTACCAACCTACCAACCTCAACCTACAACCTACCAACCTACTAACCTACCAACCTACCAACCTACAATCTGCTCAGGCCTTCTGTAGGCATACAAACACCCCACACTCAGTGCAGTCAGGTGAAACTTATGTTTTGCGTAAAAAGCATCATAAGTATCCAACTGTGATCTCACTTATTAAGCTTATAATGATGTGTTCTTTCCTTACATGTTCTTATTTTGCCTAGTTGTCCAGTTTTTAGAGGGTGCAAAAAAAAGAGGAAATAACTGAACATGGTTGACTTGCTGATATGAAGTTCAGAATCTAGGATGACACCAAGAGCTTTGACGCTGTGTACTAGTTTCAGAAAAAAACTCCATTGAAGGTAATGGTGAATTTTTTCTAGCAAAAGAACTAGGAGGAAAGGAAAGATCTAAAGACATGGCAAATCTAGTAATTTTTCGCAAACGGGCGCTAGCACCTGGGACGCCTGTTGGGTGCTATAACATTACTCTTTAGCTCAAATTACATTGAGGAATCAACAAGGGAAACAGCCACGCACCCCGCACCATTCACCAAAATGACCTAGGACAGCTGGGGCACAATGCACACTACCTTTAACAGATGATAGCAAATAAAAAATAACCAAACACATTGGTATCATGATTGTGCAACAAAGAAAAGCCAAAATACACAACAGCAGCCAAGTGATGTGATTGATTATATTGATTATAGCACCAGCCAAATTTTATTCCTATTTCAATCACTGTAAGTGTAGCAGTACAGGAAGCATGAAACTCCTCAACTCTCAAGATTATCAAAAATGTACTTATCCTTACCCAACGTTAAAAGAGAACCATTCCCAAAAGCGGTGGCCATTCAGGAGAGGCAGGAGAGGTGCCCATGGGGTTCGTAGCAGCGTGTGCATTACTGATTTACCCAAAAATAACCAATGGAAATTAAAAAGTTATTGCCTAAAGATCCTTATAATTCACAAGCTATAGGAACTAATAAAAAAACATTTGAAAATGCCACATTAACCTGCGCCCCAGTATTAGGGCGTGTTAGGGCGCCCCCAGAATGTGGGTATTAGAAAAGGTCATGTTGCATATCAGTTGATGTGTCTCGGCAAGACAAACACAATGAGGCCAACCAACCCCAGCGTTCTATCTCTTTCCAATCAAGAGTTATTGGCAAAAAACTGTTTGTAGCCTCAAATGACCTTGGATGACCTTTCTAGAGGCTATCAGCAAAAACTACACCTTGGTCGTCACGGGTGGTCCAAATTATTGTGATTCTGAAATATTTGGGCTGTTCCTATGCGTACACACGGATCTAGAGGCATTTTCGTTTTTCTCCATTGACTTGTAATGGAAAGGTCAAGCCACTGACCTGACCTTAGGTCACGGATATAAATAATCTGAGATATAGAAATTGTATGCGCCCATAACATCATGCAATCCACCAAGTTTCAAACCTCTCTGACAAACACTGCAGGCTGGACATTATTGCAAACTTTTTTGGTAAAATTACAGAAAGAGTATGATTCACTTTTCATGTGGTGTGACTTTTATAGTGACATTCCTAATCGTACTCTTTCTGTAATAATACCCATATGCCCCCCCCCCCCCCCACTGGGATGAAGGTGAATGTTGCAATATCCAGATTTACACCTCTAAGTCACCTTCCCTGATCAGCCACCCCAAAATGCTCTATATCAATATATGTCAACACTCTCTGAACTATAACAGGCCAATGTTTGTGTCAACCAGTAAATCTTACTCAAGCACAAGCGGAGAAAGCAGAAAAAGAAGCAGAAGACTAAGCAGAAATCCAATGTTATTGAAAATGGCAATCAATTATTCAATTAAATTTCAAGCATTCTCGAGCTCCACCTTGCCCCAAAATTACTTTACTCCTACTTCCTATTTCTTACCTACCGCAGAATACGATAAGTTCCTTAGATGATAGATCTGAGATTTTCTACTATCAATAAAAGCAAAAACACGACCGAGCTCTTCCATGCACAAGTAATGCAACGTGGAATAGGGAATAGAAAATATTTCCCGGCGGCCCCAGCGCCTTTGTTTTCGTTTCAAAACCATGAATAAAATAAGATCAAATTTAAAAGAAAACCACTGAACTCTTAATGTAAAAACTCATGCTACAGAATTTGTGACTCTTGTCGACATCTTAGAAGTGGTTGTTACGTTTGAGGCGCAGAATGACTAACCCCGCGTTCGATGTCTCTCGGGCGACGAAGATTCTACGTCGTCCGGCCAATCCCGTTCAAGGTCAGCGGGGGCTCGGCTTCGGTTATGGAACGTGATTGGCCGAACGACGTAGAATCTTCGTCGTCCGAGAGACATCGAACGCCTGCTAAAATGTCAATTCAGACGTCTGTCAATTCAGCAGCAACGAATATCAGCCTCACAGCAGCATATTTCGGGGCGTTTCAATTTGGCTCAAAATTGGTATATAGGGCCTCCTCGATGCGCTGATTCCGAAAATGTACCTCTTTGGGGTAGTATTTTGCACCGTTAACGAGTTAACAACCAATTAACATTTTAACCCGCGCCCTGGGGGGTGGGGTGTTTGAATACCCCTCCCCTACGGTTTTTCGCAAATATCACAAAAGCGCCGCCGTTTTTGGCACACCACCGTATCATACATCTTTAACTTTTCTACGTGTGTTGTGAAAATTTCAGACCCAGGTCACATAAGGTCAGGTCACCACATCAGGTCAAGTGACCTCGAACTACCTACACTACATAAAACGTTTCAATGTCCGCCAAAGCTACACCGAGTGAACGATCGCATTCAGGGGCGGCGGATTCGGGGGGGGGGGGGGGCAGGGGGGGCAGCTGCCCCCCTGGCAAACTCGTGGGGGGCAAAAGTATCTTTTTGCCCCCCCCCATAATTTGTTACAAAACTTAGACAAGAAACATATACCTGATTATTCTGTTCGATCATCTGAAGACATGTAACCAGATGCCCATATACTTTATCATACGTTGCCTTTCTTAAATGACAAGTGTTCGCGTTCAATTCAAGTTTTCCTCTCTTCAACCCAGTTTTGGAGACATTATAAGCGTCAACGTGACGCAGCGGCAACCCAGGCCTTCAGTGACCGCTTACAGGGGCGACGGATACGGAGCGGCAGAGGAGGCATCGTTCCCTAAGAAACTTCTGGAGGAGGGACAAACGTATATTCTTGCCCCTCCATAATTTGTGCCCTAAACATGAGGAAAATTTCCATAGCCTGATATTGCAGGCTGCAGCTGTGCGCTCCTACAGTTTGTCCAACTGTGCCTTTTGAATATGTGTAAATGCTAACCATTTCCGCTTTATAGCATTTTTTTGTCTTTTCAGATTCGATTTAGAGATATTTTAAGTGTGCAAGAGACGCAACTCACACCCTCAGTGGTCGTTTGCCGCTATTTTGTACCTACAATCTACATGAATGCCAAATCGCAAGCGAGCGGAGACGGAAGGGCTAGTCATTCGCTTGCGGGTAGTTAGGACTGATGAGCGCTCGTAATAAGCCACTCCCCTGATTTTTTCGAGCGCAACAGTTTCCAGTGCAAGTAAAATGGTAAACGCCGAGGTCGTACACATTGACCACATTGACCAATGCACGGTATGACACCCAAAGGCCAGTCATCAGAGATCTGCTTTGGGCATTCGGAGCCTTGTGTGGGGCCAGTGTAAAAACTGGATGTTCACAGTTCAGTATCCGCTTTATTTCAGTATTCACTATTAAATAAGTAAAAATTAACGTTGGAAACTTTTGAGGGTTAGGGCACTGATCATTAGTGGGGCCCCCTCTGGCTAAAGGCTGGCTATAGAATACAGAGCATCGAACACGAAAGCAAAATCTTTTTAAAGGAAGGTTAAACGGAAATCGAACGTAAAATGAACAGAGGAAATGGTAACGAGTTACATCATTGAAGAATAGCGCTCGCCTTCTTCAAAAGGTTTGGCACCGTTCTTCAAATCTGATTTGCGATCGGGTTATGGGCTATGGCACAATTTTTCCCATTGGAGCTTCACTGTAAAAAAGATTAGCATACCGATGTGCTAGTCGGATGCTACGGTTCTGGAACAAGAGCCCTGGGTGCTTAACATGCACTTAAAATGTTCTACAGTTAGCAGTCTAAGACTCTTAGGTACTTGTCTAAGCTCCGTATCCGTATGCCCGCACTTCAAGCATTTCCCTGCTTCAAGGGTGCTTGGAATAGCACCAACGTACAGATGGTGCTAATCTAAGCATCAGTTTTAAGTACCATGATCAAACTAAAGAGCTGATGAAAGCACCCAAAATATACTTCATCGATTTTGGCGGGAAGATCGCATCCGTTCGGTGCTTATTGGTTTGCTTTTTCAGCATCTGGGTGCTTACGTCGTACGAAAAAAAGCAGCGAATTCATAAAGCGCGCGGGATTCGCGACGCCATTTGCATTTGTCAAGTCAGTTGTGTGGGAGCGCTCGGCCGGGCTGGTTGGCCCATGTGTGTGCGGTCAGTGATAGAAACAGTGATGGTGATGGTCGTTTGTAGGCTAATAAGGGCATTCGTGAGTGACAATACTGAAGTGGGTGTCGTCCTAACTGCAATCAAGACCGAGTCTGAAGTCTGAAACGGAGCATCAATGGAGGAGCTGCGTGGGAACTTTCCAGCCTTGTCGGAGTGCTAAGGTGGGCTTGCACTGACCTGCTGTCGTGCTATGAATAATAATGGATGTAATTCCACACCTTTTTAGGGTTGATAAGGCAAAGTTTTATCGATATTTTACCAGATCAAGATAGCCGACAGATAACTGGTGGCTAATGAAATGAACTATAATCTTTACAGTGAAAGAGAGAGTGCAGATGGCATATTTTTTCATTTATTTATTACGGGTGCAGTTGACGGCAGACGTGGCTGTTTATCGGAGGTGGCTGCCTGTATAGCGGCGCCCATATGTTGTGATTTGTCAGCTTATGTTATAATGCCAGGGGAGCGGCCCTGTGGCACTGTTCGTAAGGACGTGCTAATATTGTGTTGTTGTTTTTTTTTGTATTTTTTAAGGTGCTTTGTGACTAATAAGTTTACGCTTGCGCTTAAATTTAACTCTAATAATCATCATACGTGATGTCCATTACCATAAATAAACGACAAACAAACAATTAAACGTGTTTGCAGCATGAGGTAAGCATTAATAATCGCAATATTTCTTTCGATTTAGCTCGGCTCCCGGCCTGCGGAGTGCGGCTACGTCCATTGCCGCCACTCTTCAAAATGCGTCTAAGTTTTCTCCGCTACGAATAAAAGTCCCGGCCTCCACTGGAATGGAAAAGCGGTGGAAACACGTTATGGTGCTAACATAAGCATCTATCTGCTAAATACGTGCTTACGCTAGCACCACACCACAGTAAGCACCCACTAGGAGCTGAAAATTGAACTCGGCACATTTTTGGGTGCTAGACGCATGCTAGGGTGATTCGGTGCCAATGTTAGCACCCGAGCTCTTAATGAAGCACTCTTTGGGTGCGTGAATTTAGCACCAAAGCACCGAAACGGTGCTAATGCTAGCACCTATTTAGCACCTATGGCTCTGAACGAAGCACTCTTTGGAGTGTAAGTTAAGCACCAAAATGGTGCTAATGCTAGCATCTAGGGCTCTTAAGTAAGCACCATTTGGGGCATACATTAACCCGCGCCCAGATGGGGTCTGCCGAGCAACGCGGTCTGATGGGGGGGGGGGCCATTTTGGCCCCCCCCTCAGATCTCGAGAACCACGCAACATAGCGACAAGCGGTAAACGGTGTTGGATAGCCCCAACGGGGAACTACCTTGTGACCCAATTTCATTGACCTCGGTCAAACCGATGACGTCACAGGTCAGGTCAAAGGTCGAATTTTCACCGTTTACAGGCATTTCAAGAAATGCGTTGTAAAATCGAGTAAAATGCATTTCATTGAAAATCATCGATGGGGAAATGTTCTTCAAACACATATTTTGCTATTTGAGGTCACTGATACCAGGTCAGGTCACAGAGGTCAGGTCACTGGGGGGGTCACAATATGAAAGTGTCGTGTGACACATGTTTTATGGTCCATTTTACATGACAAATGCGATTATGTGGGTCAGACAGACTTTAGGGCCAGCTTAGGTCACGTTTTGGTCAAGGTCAGGTCAAGGTCAGGTCAAGGTCAGGTCAAGGTCAGGTCAAGGTCAGGTCAAATTAGGTCAAATTTCAAAGTTGATATTTTTGCATAAAATGGGTATCAATTCCGCCGCCACTGATCGCTTTGAAACTTTCAGAGATTGATAAGAGCAACATTATGTACAAAATGTATATCTTAGAATTTTGATATCGATGACCTAAGGCTAGGTCATTTTTGCGACCTCCCCATTAGGTATGCCTAAGTCAATGGGAGAAAATGGAAAGTCGCGTTTTTAGACGGAAGTCATTATAAACACAACACTGCATTACTGGTAGATTTGACACACTGAACATGAAAGTGACACCCTTTTAATGCCCCTGAGGTCATCTCAGGTTACCAATGGTATCTGACTGTTTTTCGCGAATAACTTTTGATAGAGACATGCTAGAGCGATGAAAACACCTTAGTTGTGTTTGGCTCAACGATACGGATCGATCAATATGCAACTTGACCCTTACCGGTCAGGTCATGACCTTGACCTGAGGTCAAATTTTCAAGTTGACTTTTCAAGGTCATGTGATAATTCATTCGACGCGTCTAGACGGGAGGAACATCCCAGTAAACATGCCGACGTCGGCCCGAAGTCGGTTCAACCTCGGCCCGACATCGGCTGGACGTCGGGTACGCCTGCATGTACCGACGTCCAGCCGAAGTCCAGCCGACGTCGAGCCGACGTTGGGCCGAGGTCGTCTGCCGAGGTTGACGAGATCGTTTGTCGTTGGACCGACGGGGCCGACGTCGGCATGTTTATTGGGACAACGCGCCAAAAATATCAACCGGCGACGGGATTCGAGCCCCCAGTCGCCGACGTCGGCATGTTTACTGGGACAACGCGCCAAA